TAGCGACTCACTTAGGGGATAACAATTCATGAAGTTTACGGGGTTTCATAAAACCGAAGTAGGTTTAGGTTGATAAAAGAAATTTACTTTCCATAACATTTTAAACTCACAACATTTTTACTAAGAAACGATGATTTCTCATACACTCTAGTCTTTGGTTATAAGGCTACATTTCTCGGATTTCAAGGGAAATATCGGATTTTTCTGAAACAAATGCGACATTTACATGTGAAATACTTCTACTAAGTTTATTAAAAAAAAGCTTATGAACTCACCAACCTTTGTGTTGACACTTTTCAAACAACTTGTATTCACAGGAAAACACTAATCAGGTTATCAAGTGCTTTTGAGGATGGGACGTTAAGGCGTCAAACTTTTCACATTTTGACAACATATTGTAATTGATTTTGAAACATGTAATTCATACAAGTGATGTAACTTTTTCAATTATATATATGTTGGTTGTGTTTGCTTAAATTACTATTAAAATTGTGGTTATGATGCTATACATGAAGTCCTCCACCCCCGGACGTTTCCGCCATCCTTGGTTTGGGGGTGTGACAAAGACAAACACTTCACACAATTGGCCTGAGTTGGTCTTTGTTTTATCCAAAACATCACAACTTACCAATTTCAAATGAACAAGAGTAGGACACTTTTACTCTTACATTTGACACGTGTTTTAAACCTTCTTTGAGACATGTCACTCTCTTAGAGTATAACTCTAACAATTGTTTTAGAACGAAGTATGAATCATCTTCTTGATTTAACCACTTCAACAATTCAAGTTTCTCTTCTTAGTCATAAGAATGCACTAAGATTTTCCTTAGAGAACTAATTGTGCTATGGTTTCTTAATCATTAAGATGATAACAAAACTGATACTAAAGTACTCTCCCCTCTTTTCAGATTTGAGAAACTTCTATCCTTCTGCCTAATTTGATTCTTCTTATCCGCTCTGCCATGCATTGAAACCTTTTCCAATGTCTCAGAGTTACACTTAAGCTTGTAAGTATAATCATATTTACTGAGCTTTAGTAAACTATGACGAATAGCCTTCTATCTTTTGAGGTGGACTTAATCAGTGCACATGACTATGTACTCGATCCCTTAGTCCTTTACTTGACTCACACATCCATGTGAACAAGTAATTAGTCTTAATTTTTCAATACTTGAAAGTTCTCATTCATCATGCTATACAACTTGCATGATTCCAAGTTCTGGTCCAATTGAATCTTGGGTGATGAGAATCTTTCCTTATTTGGTAAATCTAGACATTACCACAAATGAAAGAATCAATTTCATATTTCCACGCTTGCTCTTAATGGAATCATATAAGCAACAATTTTTCCTCAAATGCCATTGTAAGGATATTTTTAAAATAAATAAAATCAAAAAATTTCTTTTATTTTAAAACTTTGCGGAAAATCTTATCCTTACAATCCATATGAAAACTTGTTGTTATCTACTCCTAAGCAATACCTCATAACTCCTAAGAAGTAGCTCAAGAATCTGATCTTCAAACTACGTGATAGAAATCCATCTATGCGATCAGATTAAGCATATTCTTTCTTTAAGTTCCTTCACTTTTCTTTGATTCTTAAAACATGCACATGTGACCCAGTCACATCATGTAATTAGAATCTCATAATAGAAACTTAGTAGAGTTAGATAGTGGACTTTACCTGAAGTAGAGTCAAACTTATTGACTTTAACATCCTTAGGTAAATCTGGCAGCTTCGCAACCAATGCCCCTTTCTTTGGCAATATAAATATATGGACCCTTTTGATAATGGTACACGAGACTATCATAGACTTAGCTTTTCTCTTTACCATTTGGTCAACCGAGTTAACTATGGCCGATCCCTTTCCACTGGGAAAAGAGAGCTTTACTAGATATCCAATGTCATCATTGTCAATGTCCATAAAGTTTTAGGAAGTTGATCTTAGCAAATAGATAAGATCATTAAGGGTCTTGTCATAGTCTGTTTCATAGGTGTTCCAAAAGAACTCACTATGTGACTTAGAAAGTAGTTAACCTACAACTTTCTCAAGACTTTGACACCCAACTCTCCCGCTTGTCAATATGTGACTACATCTCCAAGATGTGATCACACCTAGACCTTGCCTTGCCAATAGGGCTTGAGTGACCTTAAACTTTTCAAGAACTTGTGGGTTAGGGAGAATAATCGGAGGAGGTGAAAGAAGTATGATTTCCAAGGGACATCATCTTCATTTAGGAAAGCTTGTTTCAAGAGATTTGGGAAGATCATAAATGTCTAAACCAGACATTTGGGAGATATTCAAGATAGTTGATTTATAGTCCTTAATATGACACCCAATATGAAATATTAAGGCTAGGACCCAACAAACTATTTTATAACTTAGAAGAGGTATGCCGTAATCCAAGCTATAAAATATTTGAAGGTAGGTGAATGACGATTCACCAATTTCCACCAAGATAAACGAAATGTATTATTAGGTTTTAATTGGATTTGAAACTCCTAGATCTTTGAGATTCATTGAACTGTTCAATGGCATGTTTCAATCTCGAGTGTGCCCTTCAGGTTTTGTGACTGGGATGCCGAGGATCACAAAACAAGGTGTGAAGTAACCATGCAAATTACTTGGTACCCTTAAGTGTTTACCCCTCAATCGATGTGCCGGTTAACCACACACGCTCCATCGATACTATGATAAACATTAAGTTACCCTTTGCCTACCTTGTTAAATACGAGTTAGTGTGCCGGTTAACCACACACGCTCCACTAACCGACTTAAACAAAGTGCAAAGTGTAATTTCATGGATTAGCACCTTATTCACATTTTCCTAAGTAACTAAGATTGGGTATTATTAAGAGTTTAGTTACTTAGTATTTATCATTAATACTTTTAATGAAGGGAGAATTATAGTCCTGTCAAACCCGTTCGGCTAACGACCCTCCACCAGTCAAGCAAGCGGTGGGTGAGAGTGGACACCCATTAAGTTGCCATTTTATAGGCAACAACCTTATACCCACCTTATAGACCGGCTTCGTGAATGAGGCATACTAGCGGTAAGACCGACTTTACTCTTATACATATATATATATTATTAACTTATAATATTATAAAGTATAGGTTGAATTTTAACTTTTAAAATTCTAAGGGCTAACTTGGAATTAAAGTATTCATATGAGAAAACTTTACAAATTCTAAAACTTGAGGGCAAGTTTTGAAACTATTCAAAACTAATTAATTCCATAACTTATGTATTTAAAGTAGTTTTAATCCAAAACTCTTCAAGTTCCATAACTTGAGGGCAAGTTATGGAAGACTTTAAACTAATAAAAGAATTAACTTTTCTTTATTTTATAACTTATGGAATTAATTAAGGTTACATTATTTTATTTTTTTTATTTATTTAATGAAGAGACTCTTGAACTTCCATAACTTGAGGACAAGTTATGGAGTCATAAAACCATTCAATGAGACAAGACTCTTCATTTTTGTAACCTTTGCCAACTTTTATGAGTTTATATCTTAATGTGACATAAACAAAAGTTACAAAAACACATTTTAGAATCAACTCTTAGATTAATTTGGATTGAAAACAACTATTTCACTCAACTTTATTATTAATCTAAGCAACTCATAAGAACAAGATAATTCAAATCAAACTTTTTCATGTAATTAGTCTAAACCTTAAACTAATACAAAACATGAATCTATTGACAATTATCTTTGAAATTGGATTAGCATGAACATTACCTCTTCAAAAAACAAGTTTGTAAGTTCAAAACAACTTAGGGTAATGTTCCTAGTTGATACGTGTATGGGCTTGATTTGATGAGTAAGGTAGTGTTTAGGTAAATTAAGAGAGAATAACAACCACAAATGATATGTGAATGGAAAGAAATGGATAGATTAGTAACAACTCAAGACCTATTAAGTTGTATACCGGTGAAAACAATCCAAGACCTATTGGATTGAGTTCGTATCAAGTCAAGAACACGTCCTAACAAGATAATTTGTGAATTATAACAATAATTCTAATTGAACAAAGGTTTTTTTCTTAAAAATTCGTCTATATCTTTTTCCATGCATAAACTTGGCTTTATATGAAGCCTTTATTAAACTTGGTGGTTACAATCCAACCAACCAATTATTCATTAAAACTAGTAAATGAAAATTAAGGAAACTCTTGAAATAACACAAAAAAACGTCCAAGACACTTGAGGATGAAGAAAAAACGTTTATGCTTCATTAAGGAGCCATAAGAAGCATTAATGAGCCATCAGAAGCATTAAAGTGTAACCCTAATCCACCAAAGAGTGATAAAAACGGCTAGGAGGCTTTATGAAGTAAAAAGTAACGTTTTTACACTTATGAAGCCTAAAAATGTTGCCCTAGTCTTCATGCAACCTAATTCAATTTGTGGGTTACCATGCACAACCCAACCATTGAGCCCAAACCACCTTCTAGCCCACTAGTAATCACTAATCCATCACATTTTGGGCTTTCATGATCCATGCATGGATCATCCCTTCCCCCTTTGAAAGGAATTGACCTCAATTCATCAAGTCCATCATCATCAAGATAAGGTGAAAGATCTCCCACATTAAAGGTAGCATGCATTCCATGGTCTCCTCCCAAATCCACCTTGTAACCATTATCATTTTCACTTCCACACATGTATCATTCCCTCCTTCTTCGAAAGGAATTGTCCTCAATTCAGTAAGAACGAAATTGTGTTGTTCCCCTATACGAACCTTCCCTGACAGCAAGTCTTGAAAACAAAATTTTATTGCATAATGTGACCTTTTCTTTATTTCAACTTGGTCTTTTCTCCACATACACATGTTCTTCTTCAAATAACTCAAATAACTCGCCAAATTCAATCCTAACCGTATCTTCCATTTGTGGATGAAAAACCACTTCCATACATTCCCATGAACTCGGCCCTGCAAATTAACCTTGCAATAATTTAAATGGTTAATTGTAGTCATTTTAAAGAATGGGTCATTTTGTATTTGTAAGTTGATGAGCAGCATGCCCCAATATCACGGCTTCCCAATTAAAGGCACACCAAAAGAATATGAGTCCAAACATCATGAGCTCCCTCCTATGTAAATAATTAGGACTTGCATCTTCATATTTTCTCTTAGAAAGATGGTTTGTAAAAAGATGGATACCATCCTTCTTCTTTCGTTCCCAACAAACTTCACGCCGTCGGTCTTGGTGTTTTTGAACAATGAATGAAGAATTAATGAAAATATGTTTTGTTTGTGGATAACATAGAAAATAGGCATAAGAATTGCCACACAATGCCTCTTTTGGTGACTGATTGATACCACCATGAACACATATTTTTTTGGAAATCATCATAATGTCTTTTGAAGGGTACAAAATTCTGCCATCATCCAAAAATAATTGGTCTTGCTGTTTTTGAGCCACGAATGAAAAGTCTCCATCTCTAATTGCACAAAACTTTTTATCAAAAGTAATACACAAGTCTTTTTTCTCCTTTTGATCAATGAATGAAGACAAAACAAAAACATCATCATTAAGATCATAATTAGTAAAATCAAACCTCTCACCAAGGCCTTCAAAATGCAAAATATAAGCATTCCATGGCCTCCAAAGTGTAAAAATCTCCCACACTTTGAAACGAAAATGAAGATGAAAAACGAATAAACCTTCTTGATCAATGAAGCTTCCAATTTGGATTTCTTTAAGATCTTTAGAAAAGAAATTATGTTCATAAAAGATATGAGAACCTGAATTTTTTGTGACACTTACAGTCATTTGTTCTCGTGGTTGTAAGCTCTTGGAATGAAATTTGTTGTTCAACAAAAATCACAATTTCTTCAACAATTTTGTCCATATCAACAAAATTGATTTCTTCCACAATTGCTTCAACAAATTCATCTCCGATCACGAAATTAGTTTCTTCTTCAATTTCTTCAATAAATTCCTCTTCAACCAAGAAATTTATTCTTTCACAAAATTCCCCTTCTCCATCGGTGTCGTAGATGGGACCGGAATCTTCTTCCTCCTCTTCTTCAAATTTATCTTCCTCTATTTGTTCTTCATCATATAATTTGCGCAACATTTTTGGACAATAACTTCTGAACAACTGAAATAAAAAAATAGCAAGAATTTTTTCTTGAACAAGAACTCAGTTACACCCAATCGGAACTAGGCTCTGATACCACTTATGATACGTGTATGGGCTTGATTTGATGAGTAAGGTAGTGTTTAGGTAAATTAAGAGAGAATAACAACCACAAATGATATGTGAATGGAAAGAAATGGATAGATTAGTAACAACTCAAGACCTATTAAGTTGTATACCGGTGAAAACAATCCAAGACCTATTGGATTGAGTTCGTATCAAGTCAAGAACACGTCCTAACAAGATAATTTGTGAATTATAACAATAATTCTAATTGAACAAAGGTTTTTTTCTTAAAAATTCGTCTATATCTTTTTCCATGCATAAACTTGGCTTTATATGAAGCCTTTATTAAACTTGGTGGTTACAATCCAACCAACCAATTATTCATTAAAACTAGTAAATAAAATTAAGGAAACTCTTGAAATAACACAAAAAAAACGTCCAAGACACTTGAGGATGAAAAAAAAACGTTTATGCTTCATTAAGGAGCCATAAGAAGCATTAATGAGCCATCAGAAGCATTAAAGTGTAACCCTAATCCACCAAAGAGTGATAAAAACGGCTAGGAGGCTTTATGAAGTAAAAAGTAACGTTTTTAACACTTATGAAGCCTAAAAAATGTTGCCCTAGCCTTCATGCAACCCTAATTCAATTTGTGGGCTACCATGCACAACCCAACCATTGAGCCCAAACCACCTTCTAGCCCACTAGTAATCACTAATCCATCACATTTTGGGCTTTCATGATCCATGCATGGATCATCCACTTATGATACGTGTATGGGCTTGATTTGATGAGTAAGGTAGTGTTTAGGTAAATTAAGAGAGAATAACAACCACAAATGATATGTGAATGGAAAGAAATGGATAGATTAGTAACAACTCAAGACCTATTAAGTTGTATACCGGTGAAAACAATCCAAGACCTATTGGATTGAGTTCGTATCAAGTCAAGAACACGTCCTAACAAGATAATTTGTGAATTATAACAATAATTCTAATTGAACAAAGGTTTTTTTCTTAAAAATTCGTCTATATCTTTTTCCATGCATAAACTTGGCTTTATATGAAGCCTTTATTAAACTTGGTGGTTACAATCCAACCAACCAATTATTCATTAAAACTAGTAAATGAAAATTAAGGAAACTCTTGAAATAACACAAAAAAAACGTCCAAGACACTTGAGGATGAAGAAAAAACGTTTATGCTTCATTAAGGAGCCATAAGAAGCATTAATGAGCCATCAGAAGCATTAAAGTGTAACCCTAATCCACCAAAGAGTGATAAAAACGGCTAGGAGGCTTTATGAAGTAAAAAGTAACGTTTTTAACACTTATGAAGCCTAAAAAATGTTGCCCTAGCCTTCATGCAACCCTAATTCAATTTGTGGGCTACCATGCACAACCCAACCATTGAGCCCAAACCACCTTCTAGCCCACTAGTAATCACTAATCCATCACATTTTGGGCTTTCATGATCCATGCATGGATCATCCCTTCCCCCTTTGAAAGGAATTGACCTCAATTCATCAAGTCCATCATCATCAAGATAAGGTGAAAGATCTCCCACATTAAAGGTAGCATGCATTCCATGGTCTCCTCCCAAATCCACCTTGTAACCATTATCATTTTCATAATTTGTCACTTCCACACATGTATCACTAGTCCATTTCTAGCCAAAAACCTCGAAAATATGCTATCTGGGGATCCAAATTGTCGAGTGCATGAACCAACTCGGCGAGTTGGATCGATTTGATCACTTTTTAGGCATGGACTCGCCGAGTCCCTTGATGGACTCGCCGAGTCTGATGATCAGACAGCAACAATTTCGATTCTTTTAAGCAATTTTGCAAGTATAACAAGAAAACAAGCCTAGGCTCTGATACCACTGTTGGGTTATGAGCATTCTAACACTCCTATGGTGTACATGCAACCCTATAAACCTTGGATCTATGTTTTCTCTATTATAGATGCAAATAAGAACTTTCCAAGGCTTTAATCCTAACTAGCATATTATGAAGATCTCATACTACAAAGTACTAGTTAGATGACATACCTTTTTTATGTAGCTTGATGTCTTCAAGCTTTAAGAGCTTAGCCCCAATAGTGTGGAAGCCTCAAGTGGAATCACAAATCACCAAAACACCTTGGAAGACTTTAGCGAATATGGATACTTGGTGCTCTCTTGTGAAATCGGCTAGCCCTTTAGTGTACCACACTAGTGTCAATTTCACCAACCAAGGACCACTTTCTATAGTGTGGAGGATTAGGGTTAAACCCTAATACCCATGACCTTTCATTTCCTAGGATCCATGGGTTAAACACTCCATGGACTATCCATGAAAGCTTAGCCCAACCTAAATGAACTTGGCCCATTCCATATATATAAGAGTCCATATTTAATTAGTTCCTTTTGATCTCTTAATTAATTCTAAATTAATTCTTGATCAATACTAATTGAATAATATGATTCCATATTAATATATTAGAACTTATAATATATTAATATCAATCATAAATATACTATTCTAAAAAGATTATCCATATAAATTGTGTCGGTGAAGTGCAACCCAAATGGACCATGTCGGGTCGGGTCAAGTACATACCAAATATAGTTATGGACTTAGACATTAATCCAACAATTACCTCCTCAACGTCAAGTCGAGTTCCGAATCGACTTAGTTCCAGGGGCTACCCCAGTAGCCAAATCGCCCTATCGTTTAGCACTTGTAGAGATGCAAGAATTTTCCTGTCAACTTAACGGACTGCTCACCAAGGGCTTTATAAGACCAAGCTTCTCACCCTGTGGAGCTCCAGTCTTGTTCGTCAAGAAGAAAGACAGATTGTTTCATATGTGCATCGACTACAGGGAACTCAACAAACTTACCGTCAAAAATCGTTATTCGTTGCCTTGAATCGACGACATATTTGATCAACTTCAAGGGGCGAACTTCTTTTCAAAAATTGACTTAAGATCTGGATATCGCCAACTATCAGTGCTCGGGGAGGATGTTCCGAAGACAGCCTTCTGAACTCGTTATGGGCACTACGAATTCGTAGTAATGTCGTTCGGATTAAAAAACGTGCCCGCTGTATTCATTGACTTAATCAATAGGGTGTGTCATCCTTACTTGGATCAGTTTGTCATGGTCTTCATTGATGACATATTTATATACTCTCATAGTAAGGAGGAGCATACGCCGCCTGGGGGCTTTACCAGGGCTAACTAATAAAAGGCCCAGAGCTGGAAGTGATCTTAGAAACCAATCGCGTTCCGGGAAAAAATCCCAATATCGAATTCGCCTAGAAGAAAAACAAAAATTGCGTTTTCATTATGGTCTTACAGAACGACAATTACTTAAATACGTTCGTATCGCCGGAAAGGCAAAAGGGTCAACAGGTCAGGTTTTACTACAATTACTTGAAATGCGCCTTGATAACATTCTTTTTCGCTTGGGTATGGCTCCGACTATTCCGGGAGCTCACCAATTAGTTAACCATAGACATATTTTAGTCAATGGTCGTATAGTAGATATACCAAGTTATCGCTGCAAACCCCGAGATACTATTGCGGCATAGTCAACATCTACGACAAGTCCTCGAAACATTACGTTCGGAGAAGCTCTACACGAAGTTCTCGAAATGCGAATTTTGGATTCGACGAGTCGAATTCTTAGGGCACATGGTTAGCGAAGAAGGAATACATGTGGACCCTTCCAAAATCAAAGCCATTGAGAATGGTCAGCACCAAAGACGCCTACAGAAATTCGACAACTTCTAGGCCTTGCTGGCTACTATCGCAGGTTCATTCAGAACTTCTCCCGCATAGTGAAACCTCTTACAACCCTGACCTAGAAGGACGTGTCCTTTGACTGGGAAGAGAAGCAGGAGAGAGCGTTCCAAACAGTCAAACGAGCCTTGTGCACCGCACCAATACTATCCCTTCCCGAAGCAATAGAAGACTTCGTTGTCTATTGCGATGCATCAAATCAAGGACTCGGATGTGTTCTGATGCAGCGAGGTAAGGTCATCGCCTATGCCTCGAGACAGCTAAAGACACATGAGGTTAACTACACGACCCACGATCTTGAGCTGGGAGCAGTTGTGTTTTCTCTGAAGATCTGGAGACATTACTTGTACGGTACGAAAAACACTATCTTTACAGACCACAAAAGCTTACAACACATATTTGACTAGAAGGAGCTCAACATGAGACAACGATGGTGGATCGAGCTACTCAGTGACTACGAATGCGAAATTCGTTATAATTCGGGTAAAGCCAACATAGTAGCTGAAGCCCTAAGTCAGAAGGAATATTTTGGTCGTAGAGTCAAATCATTGACTATGACTATCCATTCACACTTGTCCACTCAAATTAAGGCGGCTCAGCTCGATGCTTTGAAGCCTGAAAATGTGACGGGTGAATCCCTGAGAGGAATGGATAAGAACTTGGAGGTTAAGGGTGGCGGAGCTTATTATTTCATGGACCGGATCTGAACCCCGGAACTAGGTGGTTTCAGAGACTTGGTCATGAACGAGGCACACAACACTCGTTATTCCGTACACCCAGGTTCAGATAAGATGTATCTGGATCTTAAAACGTTATACTGGTGGACTAACATGAAAGCAGAGATTGCTACCATCGTGAGTCAATGCCTTACTTACGCCAAGGTCAAGGTCGAATACCAGAAACCCTCCGGTCTACTACACCAGCCAGAGCTAGCAGAATGGATGTGGGAGCGGATTACTATGGATTTCATAACCAAGTTTCCCAAGACAACGGGTGGACTTGATACCATATGGGTCATCATCGATAGACTGACCAAGTCTGCACACTTCCTGCCTATCAAAGAAATAGACAAGATGGAGAAGCTTACAATTACTTACATTAGGGAGATTGTACGACTACACGGTGTTCCCTTATCCATTATCTCAG